GAATTCCCCAGCCAGACATGCTGGCTGGGGAATTCTGGGAGTTGAAGTCCACACAGCTTAAAGTGGCCAGGGTTGAGAAACACTGAGGTACAGCATATTCTATGAATGTATCCACTTTTTTTGAGAATCCAAATGCAGCAGGGTAGAACAGTGATTCATTGATGTCCACAGCGGGGGTAAATGGTGAGCATGACAGGGTGATTTAAGCCCCAGTCCCTTTTAACGTCTTCATATAGAAAGGGGTGGGGTTTCAATCATCCAATCACAGTCACCATTCTGACATCATTGACCCTGCCCCCCAAGGACACTCTTGGATGACCACCAGGACTGTTACATTCATCTTGTTGTAATTTGGGAGGAAAAATCATTCAAATAGTTGCATTAAGCCCACTGGAACTGGCCAGTTGTACCAAATTTGATCAGCATAATTTCTAGGGATCACAAATAATGCATTTGGCTGTCTACTGGAGCCATGTGCCTCTCAGTGTTATTCTGCCATTTGAAAGAAGGTGAATCTTTTTTCTTGAAGGTTTTCCTTTTTTTCATAGTTACTCTCTTTGTACCGCATCACTCTATGCAGTAAAGAAGCAAAGATCTTCATTTCATCTAGCATTGTTTTGATTTCTCAAGTGAACAGCACAGATGTAAGAAATGATGAAGGCATGTTCAGAATTTCATATTTCCCAGGTCTAATGGTTTTAATAAATCAGGGAGACAGCAGAACACTAATGGGAAGAGTATCTCCTAAGCATCTGGAGGAAAAAGAAAGAGGTGGCCTTCATCTAAAATTCTCTTTCCCTCAGTGATTGTCAAACTGCACTGAAGTGCCTTAAGTACTCAGAAACAATCATTTAAATGGATGCTCTCCATTTAAGCCAAGATTTATGGTCTCTCTAAAGGAGGAACTATCTAGAGTCAGAGCCATTTCTGAACAGATATAAATAAAGCTTTGAGAGATCAGCAGGATGATTGGGGGATGTTTCTAAACTCCACTTCTATCAAGTAACCTGTCAGGAAAAGACAAGATCAATGTAATTTTTATAGGGCGCTATTTGAAGAATAGACACATATTTCTTTCACTTCTTACTACTTATTAAAGATGGGCTGAACGTTCAAAGGTGATTGTTGACCATCATAATCAAACCCTGTGCTTTTCTTGTCTACTTGGCAGTGGACAAAGTGATAATAGAATTTGTTATGGCAAAGAGGTGGCTAATTTTTCTATCCATGCTTAGCACAACAAAATTTGAGAGATAGCATTTCATCAACATGTCATCCCCCAACAAAAGTGACAGGTACTAAAACGACTTTGAGGAGACACAAAGCCAATTTGTCTATGACTGCTCTCCTGCCTCCAATCTAATTTACATTTTGGAGGCCTGTTTAAGCATCCTTAAATTGTGATAATGGGTTCTGTTAGTGGTTTGGATTGATCTTGTATACATTATAGTCCCTTGTTCACCTTTTTTTAACTGTGAAATTTGAATTGTAGAGAAAGAAAGGAGGTTAGACAGTATAAGTGACCTGCAACTTTGAATTATACAGCTGGTTTTTGAAGCCATTTGTCTTCCTGTCACCACCCTGCTCAGTGCAGGAAATTTAGATGGCTTGCTAACACAAGGCTGTCTATGAGTAGGGAGTGCCATCAGCCCTCTACCTGAATATTGGGTTCTGTTCTTGAATTCTGCTATACTTAAGGAATGATCCATAAATCAAATCTCCCTGCTTATATCTAGAGCTCACTAAATCTAGTCTTACCTTCTGAAGCATCAGCAAACTTGCCACCTAATCATCAATGATCATTCTTGAGTTAGCTGAAGTGTAAGTTAGAATTCTACAAAAACTTTGATTATGGTAAGGATCAGAGTCCGTGAAAAAGACCTCTCCTGATCTTTTTTTTTTTTTTTTAAGTTTCCTTTCTCTCCAGCATTTGAACTATTTGCTATTAACCCACATTTCATCTTTTGTTTTTACAGGAAAGGACTACTTCAAAGAAAAAGTTTGTAATGAATACAACACATGGGGAAAAAAGAACTTTCGCTCCTTGTATGTATTTTGAAGGCGGGTTGTTTCAGTTTTCAGAGTTCAGAAGACTGGTGTAGCATTTAATATCATAGCATTGTACTTGGTGGTGCCCAGAAACCAGGACTGCTCCAAAGAAATGAAATCAAAGCATCAGCAACAAATAGGAAATAGTGTCAGGAGAACAGGCTGGAATTCTTGTGGTCTTAAAAGTGTGGCAGTTGAGATAATGAGGAGATAGAATTCCCAAGAAGGGTCTGGAGAGAGGAAGCATAGCCAAGAGAGAAACAGCATCTGCAGGATTGTAGAATGGGTGGGCTTTTTAGGCCAGGGGTATCCACAGGGAGGGGATCCAAAAGGTCAGGGTGGTAGCTACAGCCTTGCAATCAAAGCTCTGTCCCTTTTTAATATGCATCTGCTCTGAAAAAATGGGATGGGGCTTCAGTCATGTGGTTGTGGTTACCATCTTGACTTTTGGAACTCCCTTCCTTATGGACATCCCTGTCTTAGGCCAAAGTTTTACTGATAAATAAACAATAGCTGGTGGAAACTGGGAAACCACTTTGTATTTGTATGATTCTCATTTCCTTCAGGCCCTTAAACTGGCCATAGCTTATGCTCAGAACAGTCTTCACCTTCAAGATCTCGAGCTTCATTCCCCAGAATAATCTTAGAGAACTTGGAGGACACGTCAGCATCCTGTCTTCCATGCTGGTTGGACATTTTGACGCTGTATTAATTAAGCCATTGATTCATTCAGTTTCGATCACTCCTTTTTTTCCGTCAAATACTCAAGGGGCTAGATTAAAAAATAAAAGTACAAAAAAATAAAATAAAAGCAAGTTTAAAAAGAAGGCATTTAAAGTGACAAAGTGACTGAGACTACTTATAAAGGCCTGAGTGAAGAGATGTGTTTGACCTGGAAAAATAGAGGGCAAATGACTATCAGATGAGACATTCTGCAGTCCAGGTCTACTCCCACAACTCCAGTGAACAGACCTTTAAAATCAGGTGCAAAGTAATTTTTCTGAGTGTTATCATGAATATTTTAACTTTGCTTGCAGGTCAATTGTCATAAACAGCAGGAAATATTCTAATGCCACCTTTGATCAAATCATCAATCTCGTGGACGAGATGGTAAACCTGGCTGAAAAATGTTGTGCTGCAGGAGCTGATCCGAACTGTTATAATGAAGAGGTACAATTCTGCACCTATCCAGGCATATCCAGTCTTTCTCAGAACCAAGACAGGGGAATACTATTTGAGATACATGGGCCTGCAACCAGTGTTCATTCGAGTCAGCCATGCCCTCGTGCAAGATGGTCACTTCCCTGAGAAGGCTGGGGGGAGGAAATCTTTTCATCCCCAACAGAGTTTTCCTTTTCAGGACAATCTGACAACCTAAGCCTACCGATATCTTCCTCTGATATATGAGTAGCATCATATGGTTCCTGTAGTAGAGAATATATGTAGCTCATGGTTGAGCTGTTGGGTTCTTGGTTTTCTCTGATCTTGGTTGTTTTCCTGCAAGAACTAAGCTCACAGAACACCAAGAACCCAACAGTACTATATTGTGTAAGCAAGGATCCACACTCAAATGATATTTCCTCTGATATATTGGACATTCTTTGAATCAGATCTCCCTTTACTATCACCTGTTTATGCTTTCTCCAGCTCATAATCCATTTCATTAATTCTAGCATATGAATAACCTGCTTACTTTCGTTATTAACAGATGTTTGAAATGTTGCTATCGTTTCTACTGGCATTCCTTCTTTGTTTCCTCCCCCTTTCATATCTACTTTTTCCTGCTTAGCAGCACCTAAAACTGTTTTGTCTACTTTTAAAATCGCTGGATCACTTTGGAGATTAATTCTGAATCATCTTGCTGGTTATCACTTTTTTTTTCACCACTACTCAACTGAAAGTTAAGCACACATAAATCTATTAAGATTACTCTTGCTGCGTTCTTTGTAGGAGGAGAGTTGTGTTAGGCTGTGGTGGTGAAAAATCAGAAGTCTGGTAGCACCTTTTCTGACTAACAAATTTCATTAAAAGGAATAAGCTTTTCTGAGCTGCAACTCACTTCATCAGGATTGAAGTTATGTTGTGCTCTTGATTAATGGACAGAATCACTGGCTATGACCAAGCTACATTTCATGAGAATCGGTGATGGGAATTCTGCAAGGCTTCCTTCCCCATTCAGTAAAATGGGCGGGGGGGGGGGGGGGGAGAGTTTAATCTGGACTCGGTTTCACACAGTAAGGGATTTGAACTTAAAACAGTTGCATTTGATATTTTGGGAACAACTATTCTCCCCTACTCTTTAAAAGCATCCCTGCTTGGCACCTTGAGCAAAACATGGTAGCCAGATCTGACCTCAACAGAGGGCTTCAGAGTATATCGAACTCAAAAGCGTAGACTAAACTGCCTAACATTGCTTGGAGAACTGTTAATGAACTATTGCTGCACAGAAAATACACTTGAAAAGTGACATTTGGCCTTCCTGATAATTCACTGTTAAACCTCTTTTGGAAATTCCACTTACCATGATGAAGAATGATGAATGAATCCATTCATCCTCTTTTTGCTTCCCTTTTTCCCTCCTCTCTCTCTTTCTCTGCATTCCTTGTTTTGCCTCTCTTCTTCCTCTCATACCATGTTCCTAGAGGAGAGACAGGTTATACTTGCCTAAGTTGCAAGTTGCCCATTCCTAACCAAAATCTGGGAATTGTTAATTATGTTAGGGAGCTGGCACAATGGGGCCCCAATCCATATTGGGCACAGACCTGGGGGGTGGGAGTTTGCCCAGGTTCAAGTCCAGATCTCCATATATCCTGGAATTCAGATGGCTTTAAAACCATCCAGGATTATTTATAAAGTCTAAATAGATACTGTCCATGTTCAAGAGTATGATACCATTGAAAACCAATTGCTGGGGGCCAGCATGGAAGACAGCTACTGCCTTCTCCTGAAACATATAACTGGCTTCAGTGGGAAATACGAGAGTAAATTGAATGAAAATTTGCTGTGATAGAGTAGAATTGCCTTCCTCTTCTTCCACACCAGAGAAAGTCAAATCAGACCAATAACATAGACCTCTTTCTCTCTCGGCCCCCCCTTCCATCTCTTGTTGTCCCACCAACCCCCCCAAGTCTTCTGCTTTATCTAATAAGTCCTGCAGTCCAGATGCTCCTTTCCCAAAACACCCAGGGATAGCTGGGTGCTGCATTGAGGAAGGCCTTGCTCGGAAGCTGTGCCTGGCAGCCTTGAAACACCCACCGAAGGAGTTCTCGACCTATGTGGAGCCATCTAATGAGGAACTATGTGATGCCCTCGAGAAGGACCCTCAGGGCTTTGAAGAGAGGTGAGATGTAGAAAGCATCAACCATCTTCATTGTGACATGAATTTCTGCACAAGTTGCAAATTAGTTCCAGGCAAAGAAAGTTTCCCATTCCACTCATTTAATCTGAGGTGTGGTTTGACTATCACCATTGTTACCTTTCAATGTGCCTCTTGGAATCCCCTTGCCAGTTGAAACATGCTAGCATCACTACACGAGCTTTCATTCTTCCCAGATACACTCTGGCAAGGCTGGAGGGAGAGGGAGCATGCCACAGTCATCCCACTGTTCTAAACCCCATGAGCCTGAAATGATTCTCAGGGTCCTGGTTGTAGCACTATGGGAATCCCCTACATCTGCTCAGGTTTCTAGGTAGTACATGGAACAGGAGAAAGGCTGGAGAAATACATGGAGATCCCCTACCTAACACTTTGCCTCTAAAGGAATCAAATAAGTCACCCAGAACTCTGGAGCCAACCCAGGGTATGCAGAGAATTAGTCTCTCAAAAGATGTTAGCCAGATGCATAGACTGGAACTGTATGGTCAGAATCTATGAACTTGTTGAGTATCAGATGCTGCTGATGAAAGGAAAAAAAATTAAAAATTTCTGAAGGATTTTAGGCTAACTTCCAGCAAAGCTCAACTAGTCTTCTATGCTACTTCTTTACTGTATGTTCTTTTTGCTGGTTTGTCTTCTAGGTTTTTGGCTGAGTATTCCAGTGACTACAGCTATGCTCCTTTGCCAATCTTGCTGAACTCTACAGCAACTTATTTATCCATTGTTAGAACTTGCTGCACCAGCACACAGCGTAACACCTGCTTCTTGAAAGAGGTCAGTGCATTCTTTTCTCAAAATGGAATCTCTCATGCCTCCTTCCCCCTGCTCTTCTCAGCTGTCCAACAAACTGTAATCCCACTCCATGCCACCTCCATTCTGGCTCTCATTGCATTGGAAAATCCATGGTTAAATCTCCATCCCACTAAATGATTTTTCTACGTATACTCAAGTGGTCACTTACTCATGAGTATCAAGCTGGCCAAAGTTGACCCAAATAATAGAATATTTTTAAGGCAGAGAAAAGCCAAGATTTAAATTTTCCAGCTACAGTGCTAATTCAGAAGTGCCAGGAACTTTCCCAATTCTGGCGGAAGAACTATGCAGCAGGATCATGAAACCAGGATTCCCAGAATTCAAGATTTGGTATGGAACAATCCAGCCAGGTACGGATCAGTCCAGCCATGTACTTGCAGCTCACAACAGCTTTTCCCATCCTGGTTCCAACATGCACCTGGAGGATACCAGCTTGGGGAAGATTAGCTTTGAATCTATTATTGCACCAGCCATATCTCAGACTACTGGTCAGTGTCCCAGTTTCCCTCTCTCTTGGCATTCTGGGAATCCCTACCTGGATGCATGGGGCATTGTGACTCAGCTGTCTTCACTGAAGGATAATTGCTCTGAAGATGACTTCAGATGATGGACTTAGGCTTCAAGAACTGAGGCTATTAAGAGGATGCTAAATGTGGGTATACTGTGGAGAATGGGGAAGAACGGAAGATACATCAGCCTTAACATGGAAATTGGACACATTCTTCTTCTCCCCATGGGAGCAAATATCCACACCCTTACCAGCAGCAGGATTCCTCTGCTAGATGAGGCATCTCCTCTGGACAGAAAGAGCCCTTCCATTCATGGAAGGCCATTTTTGAGTCTAACTCAAAAATGATTTGGGAAAATACTTCGCCATCACTCCAAGTGACAGTGGTACAGTGACTCAAGATGCCTATTCTGTGGGTTTCTTAACATACCTTCACCGATTATGTAAGTGCACAACATGTTCTGGCACAAATAGATAATGTTGCATCTCAGTGTTGTCAAGTTATGTGGGGACATAGGTTCTAGGGAATACAGAGGAGTGATGATTTATCACTCCATCTGTAAAATAGAAATAATTCTTATTTATTTTCTAGTGAATTGATTTAGCAGTGATCCTAATATTTGCTCCAGCTTTCTATACCCCAAATGCATTGTTTCCAAGTTATAGACAGTGTATTAAGAAAACAACTCAAACTTACTCATGGCCATTCAACTCTGTGCCTTGAATCAGGAATCCCAGATCAAAATCTCTGTCTGTGTAATTGAGTAAAAATGTATTGTTGCCCCACCAAATTAGCTGATGCCCTATTCATTTTTTGGGAAGCTGTTGCCCATATACAGTACAAGTCAAACATTTTATGTCTGCCTGACAGTTTTCTATTCCTTCTATTTTGCAGAGGCTACAACAGAAGCCTGTTCAGACACTTGCTCATCTATCAAACAAAGCCTGCTCTCTCCATGCCTTATTTGGGAAAAATAAAACAAAAGTCAGGTAAAACGGAAATCCTTTTGTCCCACCCATCGATGTTAGATCAGAAGGATAAAGGTTTAGTAGCTGAAATTCACATTTGAGCCATGAAAGATCCAGTTGGCTATCATCTCTATATACACATCTTTCCATTTTGATTGATTATGTGCCATCAAGTTGGTGTCAACTCTTAGTGAGCACATATATAGATTTTCTCCACCAATCTTTCAATTACTATTCTTCAAAACATGGCAATGCACTGAAAACACCATTGTTTTTTCCCTTGTCCTCCTTCTCCTCCTCTGCTTCCGCTTCTTTGTTACACTGCAAATATAATTAGGTGGAAACACAATATGTCATGGATGTAAAAAGGGGTGAGCCTTCAGTTGCACTGTTGCAGCTGCCATCTTGACTTTGTTGATCTCTCCCCAACGGATATCTCTGAGATGGACTGGGTCTTTAACTGATGCACCACAAGAAATCAACAGAGAACTAGAAATCTCCAGGTGTCCCAGTCTTAAATTCATAAAAATCATGTAGAAAAAAATCCAACAGGAATAAATTTTTTTAAAAAACGTATTTTGTATTTTAAAAAACAAAACAAATAAGCAATAATAACATCAGCACTAATATAATAATACCGGATAGTAAAAATACACAAATATTCAAACAGTTTCATCTTTCTCAGGTGTATACCAAGCAAGATAATCTTTTCAAACCATATCTCCTAACCATTAAAAGTTATTATGCATTCCATTATAATGTAAGATTAAAAATGGGGATGGGGAAAGGATCCAAAATTTTCTTTTACAAAGAAAACATATATAGAGAAATTGTCAGGTGGGAAACAATGTGTTCTGATCTTTTTCCTTAAATCTGTTCACTCTCTCTCTATCTCACCTGAATACTGTTCCTCTTTGGGAGTTTTGGGACTCTTAAAAAGTTACTGCTCTGGTTTAGGTTCCTGGACTTCATCATTTATTGAGATCCACCGCCACCACCCCAAATTGGTCACTGGGCAATTTTGGTGAGATATAATCAAAGCACGTGAAGCTTCAAGGATATGGGAAGTTTGGGAGACTGGAACTCAACAGCTTGGAGAGCTTGCAGACAGGAGTTGTTGGAAGTAGGTAGCTCAGGGTACCTTCATGCTGCCATCATTTCCAGTTCCTCAAAAGCTGCTTGAGATAGATCCATAATCAACTTCAGCACCGCCAGAATTGAAACTTACCCTTATGAGTTTCCTCTATAAGTACAGTGACCATATTTTCTTGGGAAAAAATAAAGGACAAACCTGGAAAAGGGGAAAATCTGAAAGAGGTGCATAAGGATTTAAAAAAAAAAAACATTGTTTATGTTTATAACTTTGCTTTACAAAGGAAAATTCAAGAGCAAACCAAGAAAAACTACAAAAACACATCATCTATTAAAAATATTTAAAATCAAACAGTATATGTGAATTTATTTTAAAAAGACAATTCAATTTCCATATTTTTCACATGAATGTGAAAGACTGTGCTTTTGTACAGTAGAAGTTAAACGGCCAAAATAAAGGACAAAAGTGAGTTTTGGAAAAATAAATAAATCTAAAGGACAGCTTTCTGAAATAAAGGGCTGTCCTTTATAATAAAGGATGTATGATCACTGTATCTATAAGGTTTACAGTGTTTACTGTATAATTACAGAAAGTAAAGAATATAATTCAGTCATTTCCCCTCCTTATCTACCTGTTTGTTTATGATGTGTGCATTTGTCTGGTTTTGGTTGTAGTTCAGTCGTTAAGTCGTGTCCAACTCTTCGTGATCCCATGAACCATATTGCGCCAGGCCTTCCTGTCCTTCATT